ATCACCCCCCCCCTCTAGACACCTCTTCTCGATCCTTTCAGAAGCTCAAGGCCAAGATGAAGGCTCTGTTCTGTATGCAGGCCAATGGACAATACAAGGCTCATGTGAACGCCAAGATGGCTCGTCATCGCGACAAGGCTATTATGAGGCAGGTTGGTCTTGAGGTTGAGAGTGGCTCAGAGGAGAGGATCACAGATGAGGAACCATGGATCAGATAGAACTGCCGGTGGAGTGAGTCTGGGGAGGATACTGGAGTTCGCTCTTCATCCCGTGCGGCAGAGGAGTCTGAGGAGGAGGAACATGACTGGTGATGAATTGGAGCTCTACCACCACTTGTGTCGTAGGTGTCCTCTCTGCCTTTTTGGTGTCTTGATGCCAAAGGGGGAGAGAGTGTAGGATTTGCAAGTCTTGTGTTGATTCATGTGTCGCTTTGCTTTCGTTCTGTTGATCCTTCGTTGCTTTGGTTTGTTGGTTTGTGGTTGTGTTCGTGTGAGACAAGGAGACTCTCATATGGTGTGAGACATATGCCCTCAAGCTTATCTTATTGTCTTGTATGTTTAGTAGATTGTGAGCTTATGCTATCTTGTGCTCTCTAATTCATGCTCACTTACTTTACCTTGCCTTCATGCTTTTTGTCACTTATATTGTTGCAAGTTTTGTCGTGTCTATAAAATATAGGGGGAGTGTTGATCCTAGTATGTGTGCCATGCAGTCCAAAGCATATCTATAGAGTGCACACATCTAGGGGGAGCCTGTCTATATTTTATAGATGTTGGGTTTGCTTATGTTCATTTTATATCCTTATGTGCAGATCCCGTATTGTCATCAGTCCACAAAAAGGGGGAGATTGTAAGGGCATATTTCTCTCTATGTGGTTTGGTGATTGATGACAATGCATTTGCGGACTAATCGTGTGCATTGAGCTTTTCAGAGGTCTCATGTCTAGGCACAAGACGATTCGGTGCCCCTCAGAGCCTATCGAAGACGGCGGTTTTCTACGTTTCTTTTCGGTGGATTTGAGTCGTAGGAAAGCCGTACTATAGAGAGGGGTTCCGCTTCAGAAATGTTCGGGTGGAATCAACACATACACATCTGTTCCTTTGCACCACCTTTCCTTCACTTCGGTGGAGCACTGGTCGTTTACCCTTGTCTATGCGAGGATGAAGGTCTCCAAAGTGCCATAGTTTCTGTGGCATGCGGTAGTACTACTCAAGGGAGTAGTAGTACCATAGCTGTCCACAATAGTACCACCAAGGTAAGCGATAGTACCGCATTGTGCGGTAGTACCGCTCCTCCCTAGCGGTAGTACCGTGGCCTCTAGCCCAGAACACTGGCATGTACGGAAGTAGGAGCGGAAGTAATTTTTTACTTCCGCGCCCTACGCGGTAGTACCGCTCCCTGGGAATGGTAGTAATGTGCCAGATTTTCGCACAAACCACAACTCAGCGGAAGTGGCCACAGATGTAATTTTATTAGTCCGTGCCTTCCCAACCCAGTAGAACGCTGCCTTGCGGTAGTACCGCAAGGGCGCGCGGTAGTACCGCTTCGGCGGTTCTACTGCTCATTACTATACGCAACAGGGCCTCGTCTGGTCTCTGTCGCGCGAGTGGTAGTACCGCATGGTCTAGCGGTAGTACCGCAAGCTCTTGCGGTAGTACCACGAGTCTGTGTGGTAGTACCGCATGTCGCGGGCTGAATAAGTGGGTAATGGTTGGATCTTTCCCCCACAATATAAAGGGGGTCTTCTTCCCCAAGTTGACTACCTCTTCCCTCCCTATGCTCCATTGATGCTCAAAGCTCCATTTTCGCCCGATCTCTCTCCCTAGCCAATTAAACTTGTTGTTTTTCTAGGGATTGGTTGAGAAGGCCCCGATCTACACTTCCACCAAGAGAAATTTGATTCCCCCCACTAATCCCTTGCTGATCTTGTTACTCTTAGGTGTTTGAGTACCCTAGACGGTTGATGTCACCGCAGAGCCATATTCCATTGTGGTGAAGCTTCGTGGTGTCGTTGGGAGCCTCCAATTAAGTTGTGGAGATAGCCCCAACCTTGTTTGTAAAGGTTCGGGCGCCGCCTTCAAGGGCACCAATAGTGGAATCACGACATCTCGCATTGTGTGAGCGCGTGAGGAGAATACGGTGACCCTAGTGGCTTCTTGGGGGGCATTGTGCCTCCACGCTGCTCCAAGGGAGACGTACTTCCTCTCAAAGGGAAGGAACTTCTGTAACACATCCTCATCTCCACCGACTCCACTCTTGGCTATCTCTCTCCTTTACTTGTGCAAGCTTATATTGTGTTGTATCCTTTGCTTGCTTATGTGCTTGTTGTTGTTGTATCATATAGGTTGTTCACCTAGTTGCACATCTAGACAGCCTACTTTGATGCTAAGCTTAATTTGGTTAAGAAAAGCTAAAAATTGTCAGTTGCCTATTCACCCCCCCCCCCTAGTCAACCATATCGATCCTTTCAGGATGTTAGTTCATCCCTGGAATTCCATGAACTTGTAACAATACGAGAGTGTTTGCACCCGCATGGATTTTACAATGAACCATCAAATTATACCATTACAAGACTTTTTGTCCTAGTATTTTTGGGATTAGTTTTACTTTATTTAGCCAACATATAAAAACCTCTTGTAAGTTGCACGATGTGAGTAGATGATCACTGTAAATCCCCTTCCTCTGCAACTTTTTCCTCATCTAGCGAAGCTTGATCCTTAATTTCGTTCTTATGATCGGTGTTGAACCAGGGGCTGGGGCAGGGGCGGGGGTGGCGGTTGAGTTCGTAGTTTTATATTTTTTGTTTGAATGTTTGATGCATTGTCGTAATCCTTAAAAGTTCCGTTTCCATGGTTTGGAACTGTTCGGAGCTCCCTTGTGATCAGTGGCAAAGCTATGTTCAAAGCTGCAGGGGCCATGGCCTTCCAGCCTTCATTAAATATGTGAAAGAAAAATGTATTTTGAAGGGGAAGATTAGGGAAACTAGAGTCTTTTGCACCCCCCCCCTATCCATATTTATGTTTGGCCTTCCCAAAGGATCTTACCTAGCTCCGCCAGTACTTGTGATGCCATTGACATGAACCCTTTTCAAGCGGCAATGAAAATCGTTGTGGGCGACGGGATCAAGACAAGTTTCTGGTTTGATCATTGGTTGCATGGCTGCCCCCTAAAGAGATTGCTCCCTCCATATTTGCAATTGCTCGGCGCAAATATCTCACTATTTTTTAAGCCCTTCGCAATAATCGTTGGATGCAGTCATTTGTAAATTCCTCTCCATCTAATCAAATTCATTAGTTTGTTGGCCTATGAATCTCTCTTCATGATGTGCATCTTGAGCCAGCCACTCTGATGCCATATCATGGACGGCTCTTTTAAATGGTGATTACTCTATGGTTTCGGCTTATAGGCAGCAATTCAAAGGTGTGTTGGTTTGTTTCAAGGCACACAAGCATTGGGAGTCCCAAGTTGAGTTGAAGTGCAAGTTGTTTGTCCGCTTCTCCTACATCTCAAAGCACTAACTACAGACCGTCTTGCTATTCACGGTTCGCCTCATGAAGAGGTTTGCAATCTATGCCGCACTGAATTTCAAACAAACGAGCATCTCTCTCAGGGTCCCTTTTTGTTCTGGGCATTTGGGCTGTCGTTGATGGATGGTCCTTGATCATGGCAAGCTTGGACCCAGATTTTTTTTCCACGATTAAGGACTTATGGAACAAAACTATTAAGGTTTTGGACTCGTCAAGGCAAGATGGCATGCGTGAAAGGAGAGTAACTAGAGGTTTTTCTAGAAAACCTATCTGCAGCTTTTGGATGTTGCTTGCCTTGTCACAGAGGACCTTCTCTTAGTTCGGTTGGTCGTGCAAATGACATGTAATTCTTAGGGCTTTTTTGTCTTGTAAATATCTTTTGTACACTTTTACTTTTACTCTATCTATATGAAATCGGCATACCATTTGCATTCTATCATCTAAAAGCAATCCTTAAAAGTAAATTGCCCGGTGGGTCCAGTTCCTTGCAGCAAATTAGTAGAAATGTGAAGGTGCGAAAATGGCACTAGACTATGAAAAATGAAAGCTTAGTTAAATCGGTGTGCTTTTGAGTGAAAGGAAAAAAGAAAGATTTGTACTTTGTACAAGCCCTACTTGATCAATAATGTGCATTAGTTATCCAGAAGAAAAGTGCAACAATGATGACGCGGTGGCCACCAAATCCCCCAACAAACTATAGCTACAGTTAAACAAGTGCTCCCAACTACTAATGTCTCACAAACAAAAGTCAGAAGGTTCATTGCCAGGACTAGCAAAATTTTGGATGGAGGACCTCAAAAACTCAGCACTCATTCACCGGAAGTGAAATCAGAGAGCATGGCACGAGGCACGGCAGTTTGGGGGGAAAACTGTGGTAACCAACCTGCTTCTGGTGCTACCAAAAGCGCGCCGATCCCGCTCGCAGTTTACGTTAACTTTTCAGAACCTCGATGTCTCGTTCTCACGCGCTCTCGTCGGGGAAACGTGACCTGTCGGTCACAATACGCAACGCTTTGGAGTTGACGTGTCTCTGTCCGGAAGCCATCAAGAATTGATTTTGTTTCCTTTAAGCTGAATTTTTTGGCCGATCCACAATTCATTCACCAACATGTTACACTACATGTCTGCATTGTTATCTCCATCGTCGCTGACGAGCCTCAGGTCATCTCGCGTCTATCTTTCTTGTCTCCATCAGATGCTAGGTACAAGGGGCCCATCAGATAAACCATCCCCATCTCACACTCTGCAAGCAACATGAGCACCACACCAACACCCATGAGGCGCAGCATGGTACGGGGGATCCATAAGACGAGTGAGCAGGTGGAGGAGCTCCTGCAGGAGCCATCATTAGCCACCCCGATGCGGAATGCACACTGTTGTTAGCTGCTGCAGCAGATCAAGAAAGAGGAGAAGGATAAGAAAGATAACATCATCGCCGCATTATCATTAGGATTGGTTGATCCGGTGGCGGCCATGTCGTACGATCAGGTGCTCTCTGTTCTCGGAGGTGGCGGCAAGGCGGCGGCGGTGAGCGCGTGGAGCGGCCATGGAAGCAACATCACGAGGCAGATCGTCAAGTGCACCAGGTGGCAGCTGGAGGAGACCACCGACCTCATCACCTGCCCTTACCACTACTACTGCGACAGCTCCTACCCGGGCGACTACTCGGCTGCCGTCGGCGTCCTCGTCGCCGTTTTAGCCGTTTATTGCCTCCTGTCCGCGGCGGCCTTCACCGTGGTAGAGATCGTCAGGGCTGGCGGCGGCAGCCCGGCGACGGCGGCCGGTGGCGTCGGGCGGATCAAGCGGAAGTACCTGGTGCCGTCGGGGCCCTTCTTGATGCCGCTGGTGCTGCTGGTGCTCGCCAAGGGGCAGCGGATCAACGCCGTCTTCCCGCTCGCGCGGCTCGGCCCGGCATTGCTGCTCACGCTGCAGGCATCGGCGCTGGCGTTCCGAAACGAGGCCGACGGCGACGTGCGCTACGCCGTGCTCGAGGCGTCCACCGTGTCCGGGATCCTGCACGCGAGTCTGTACCTCGACGCCGTCGTGCTGCCCTACTACACGGGCACGGACGCGCTCCGGTGGTCGCGGTTCTCCGGCAAGTGCGCCACCTGCCTCTGCCGAATGGAGCCTCTGGTCGTGGGCGGCCGGACGGTGCTCTACCGGGGTCTGTCCAAGACAGCGCTGGCCATCATTTTCGCGCTCTGCTCCAGGATGGTGTGCCGGATCTACGGCGAGGAGCGGCTGAGCGCGTGGACGCGGTCGGCGCTGGAGGTCGCGAGCTGGCTTTTCGTGTCTTGCGACGCCGTGTACCTCGCCGGTTGGGTGATTGCCGAGGGTGCCATGGCGAGCGCGGTCGTGTACGGACTCGTCGCCTGGCTGGTGTTCCTGTGTGTGTTTGGGAAGGTTTACAGATTCTTGGCGTGGGTGGAGAACAGGCAGGTCCAATGGAAACCAAGCCTTACCTGCCACAATGTGGTTTGATCATTTCTTTCTTTCTCCTTTCCTTATGGTTTCGGATGAAATTGTAAAGAACAATGACCACTTAAGTCAGCTTTGTGTGTATATAATTGCAAAGCATTATCATAGTTAATTGGGATTTCGTGTGCACATTTTTTTTAGAATGCACAAAAAGATAATTGTAAAGCATATGAGCCACATAACTTTGCTGATTGAACACCTTTTTTGTTTTGTTTTGAAGTTTTAGCTTCCTGAAAGGACTTTATAAGGTATGCCCACTAGATAATTTAAAAAGGCAAGAAGTAGGCTAGAATTAAACACCACTCTACTACTTAGCTTTTTCTTTCCTTTTACTAAAGGGAAACGTTCGGGGCCGGGGCACCGGCCGAAGCTTCGGCCGGTCCAGTCCACACGTGCACGATGCGACCCACTCACGAGCAACCACGTGTCGCGATGGACCCGAGACGACTAGTCCTCCTCCCTTTTCTTTTCTTCCTCTCGCGCTTCTCTCTCTTTCTCTCTCCCCACTGCCATGGTCAACGCATCGCCCCGTGCCGCAGGCCTCCCAGGCGCGCCGCCGTTCAGCAGATCTGGCCGCCCTCGACCAGATTCGCGCGGATCCGCGTGCATTAGAGCTCTCCCTACCTCGCCGGACCCGGCCACGCCGGAGCTGCAACCAGCCATGGCAGGACTGCGCCCCGCGGCCCAAATTTGCTGGAACAGGCTTGCGAGTGTTGCAACCGTTGACAGGAAAGTTTCAACCCAAGATTAAAAATGCTTCAACCGTATATACAGAAAGCTGTAAGCGTTCAGTGCTATCGAGGGAAGCTACAACCATCTATATAAAATGCTACAAACTTTGATGAAAACAGCTTCAACCGAACGATAGAGAAAAGTTTTCACCCAGACGCTGCTCAAAAAGAAAAAAAGTTTCAATCATTTACAGAAAAGCTTCCACCGTAGAGGGGAAAAGCTTCAACCATTGAGATAAAAGCTACAACCGTGTCAATTTTTTGCTAGTACCGTCTGTGTTTTTGCTACATCCATTCATGCGGCCATGGTGCTTTTTTACGACTGAGCTGTGACCGGCGACGACGACGACGACATTTTTGTTGCAACATCCTCGTTTTTTGCTACCATTGGCGCTGTGTTTTGCTACATCCGATTAACATTTTTGCTACAATGGCGACACCGATGGATGTTTTTGCTGCAAGCGTTGTCTTCATTTGCTACGACTGACACGGGAAAATGCTACCACGGGGCATCTCTGTTTTTTGCTGGAACCAATCATCGGTGAGGCGGAGCTGCATCCATGGCACTCCGACGAGCAGCGGGGGCAGCGAGCGGTCGGGGCGAGCTGAGTCCCGGAGCGCGGGGCGGCCCCGACGGGCGGCCGGGGCGGCGAGCGGACTGGACGAGCTGAGTCGCGGAGCTGCATCCATGGCGCTCCGACGGGCGGCCGAGGCGGCGAGCGGTCAGCTCCAACCGGCGGCCGGGGCGGCGAGCGGCCGGGGCGAACTGAGTGCCGGAGCTGGGGCGGCCCCGATGGGCGGTCGGCACGGCGAGCGCTCGGGGAGACGAGGACAAGGTAAAAAAAATAGCAGAGGAGCTCGAATTTGACAGTGTTGCACAGCAGATCGGGCGGCTGGGAGCAGACCGGCCGAAACATTCTTCGGCCGGTGCGCCGGCGCCTAGCGGTGCCCTTTACTAAAAGACTCAACAAATATCTCCACGCCAGTGTTGACAACATGAGGCTATGATCTCAGCATTTGGTAGGTGATTGCGACAAATTAACCATAACAATGCGGTAGCTAGTTCTCCCGTGAAGCAATGACCTACCTGATGGGTGTTTCTCCATGCTAATTCAATGAGCAATCCCCTTGTGATTGTGTTTCTTTTCTTCCAGAATTGATAATTTTCATCCAGCTGAAACAATTCGGTTTCAATCAAATTATTCATCTGTCCGATCTTGTGCAACGATTCTGGCTTGAAGAGTATGCTTTTAATGTTACTGGTAAAAAGGCATGTGCGTTGCAACGGGAGAAAAAAAAATATCACATGCTCTTAATTTACAAAAAATGTTCTATAATCTGAGAATTTGTAGCTATTTCTTAAATACATGAAGAGTTGCTAAAAAGATACATAATTTTTTAATCATAAAAGGAGATTTTCTTTTGTCTGGAAAAGAACAATTTGTATGGTCTCCTGTTGACGCAGGTACTTGCGCCCCTATTTCATCGCTATTTCTAGGGATGGCAATTTTTTACGCATGGACAGGAGTTGGATACAATTTTATATCCATGGACAATGCCCGAATCCGACCCGACTAATCATGGGCATGGGGATAATTTTATACCCGTGGGTATATCCAAACCCGTCCCGTAAGTGTATACCTTGTCCACTTTTATTTATTATAATAAAAAGTCAATAAAATTTTTCCTAATTCCCATCGAGTAATTACACCACTGCTCCTTCCCATTTTCATCTTCTCGGTAAACGACTCGTCAATCTTCATTAAGGATCTTCTCTATCTCCTCGACTCCTACTCGTGCGGACCTATATAGCCGGCGACGCCGTCCACATGTGGTGTCGCACTGCAGCAACCAACTCCGCGGACAGGTGGGTGGCCGGCTGCATCTCCATAGATCCCCCCGACTCCTCCATCTCAGCTTTTCCAAGCACGCAGCATACCACCAGTTTGTACGTGTGACAGCGAGGTGGAGTACGACAATGCATCGTGCAGCGGCGCGCACAACCAGGAGTATGGCGGCACAGAGGCACAGAGAAATAAAATGGCTATATGCATCGTTCAGATGCAGAGGCCAGAGGTCTTCCTCCTTTTCTAAAAGAAAAAACAGAGGCACAACGAAGTGGGCGTAGACCACGACAAGGAGCAGGACCACGTCGTGGAGGCGATGACCACGCCAAACAGCCAACCGTATGGGTAAGTATTTTTGTTCCTGCTCGTGTACATCTAGTGCTTGTGCGTGGATGTGCATGAGGTGCTTGTTCATGAGTTTGTATTAGTAATTAGAGTAGAGAACAAGAGTTTTGTAGTGGTCAATTTCTATTTTTTAGTTCGTGGCAAGAGAAAAAACAGACTTTACTACATTGCTGGTCTGTAGCGGTCAACTTCAGTCAGATTAGACTACAAATCTGACTAAAAAGTGAAATCTGACTAGAAATCAACGAACAAGAGAATATGATATTTCTAGTGGTCAATTCAAGTCAGATTCCACTTTTTTACACATGGCTTGATCTACAGATATGCCTGTTAATTAGTACAGTAATTCATTTTTACAAAATCAGTCAGTTCATTTCTGAATTTCTATCAAGTTAGAATCTGGCTGATTAAGATTCATTTTCTCAAATTGGTCCATGTCATGTGTTCAACTTCGTCCATGTCATGGCCTTATGTCTGTTGCAACTGTTCTTGATCCAAAGTACAAACTTCATATGTTGCGAGCCTTGTTTGGTTCTCTCTATGGAATTGAATATGCAGTTGTTAAAGTTGACGCCTTGTGCCAAGTATGGCTGAAGCACTCATGTGCATGCAAGCTTGGTCTCATGCTGACATGATAGGTAAGTAATGCTCTCAAATTGCAACCATTCATCTAATTTATGTTACACAACAGTTATTTTTTTACTGAGTGTTCCTTCATCACTTAAAACTTGCACCAGGGGAATAGCAAACCACTCTCTTTGCGACATTTGAAAGTGTTCTTGATGATGATGAAGAAACTATGGTAACATATTCCACTCATTATAGTTGATTCTACATGATACAATATTTGGTTGTTTATTTCCATGATTTTAATTATTGTTCTTATGATATGTTCACGTGAAGGATGAGTCCAAGTCTATCATAACTGAAGCTTAGTATGTCATGCGGTGAAGAAAGAAGATGATGCCTAGAAGAATACCTTCCTTCACTTGTAATGAGAATTGTGATGTACTTATGTCTCCTGGCTGTAAGAAACTAAGGCTGAGAAATTATGTTGGGCTATTTTTATGTTATTTTGTAAGAAATTAATACTAAGAAATTATGTTGGGCTATTCATATGTCATTCTGTGAGGAACTAAGGCTGGGAATTTTCTACTTTATGCTTATTTGAAGTTCTGATATGTCATTCTATGAGAATTTGAGCTCTTGTTTCATGTTGTGCACTTCTCAGATGTCATTTTGTGAAAATTTGAAAAGTTATTTAATCTTGTGCAGCTATGCAATGCCATTTTGCGCAAATCTAAGTCTTTATGTGAATGTTGTGCCATGTTGTGTGATTTTCAAGGTATTATCTATACGTGTTTTGATAGGACCCGATGGGTATCCATTGGTTATGGATATCCATCGGGTTTGGACATGGCCATAGTTTTTAGCCCGTGGGTTTTTTCATGGATGGGCAAAGAATAACCTTGTGGATTTGGATATGAATTTGATTTTGTTCAACCCGGGCCGAACCCGATCCATTGCCATCCTTAACTATTTCTTGCCATACATGTCATGGGTATTGGTCATTGTTTCATCACTATTTATATCTTATCAAACTTGTCTTCTATTTTATTTTTTTGTCATGCATGCCTCCTTTTTAAGTTTTATTCATGCATGTCCTCCTTTTCTTCTTCTTATATATAGGAGAATAGCGCAACATCTCATCTTTATCGGATCTCCTCTGCATTTTCTATTTTATTTATTTTATAGCGGACATCCCATCTTTATAGGGTCATTCTTTTATTTATTTTCATGCATGTCCTTATTTATTGGGTGTCTCTAGCAAATCTCTACTCCTATAAAAATCACAGTTGGTGGTGATGGTGTGCCTGCCATCCATCGATGTTGGCCGTCTAATCTGCATCCGACGCATGAGAGCAACCCCACTTCACATTTGCAAAGAAACCCCTCATTCTCTTCATCCATCTCCATCCAGTCCCACCTTATCCAATCAGCCCACCAAACGATCCTTCTGGAAAAAAGTGGAACCGAAGTGGCAGCGGCCATGCACTCTGCACGCCGCCAGCGCTGTTGG